TTCTGGCTCCCAGTTTTATTATTTAACATCTTCCAGCAGTCACAAAAGTAGCTGGTTTTCTCTGGTTTTTCCTCGGGTTATGTTCCATCCCAACTCCCTCTTTGAAAACTGTGAAGTGATGAGGATTCCCTTCACACACTTTAATCAGTGGTATTTACACTGAGTCAGATGATTGTTTTTTTCCTAATGTGAAAGTAGTTGTTTGCCAAATCTACACACATTGATCACCAACACCAGAGGTTCTACTGATGTATGCAACAGTTTAGCATCTTTTTGATTTCTGCAGCTGTGGGGCGGTTTAGCCTTCCTGCTGCCATCAACCTTGTTTCTAACCACAGCAGGCAGTTAGCTGCAGAAATTAAAAGCCCAAAGTTAGCCACAAAGTTAGCAGTTACTAGCTCCTTTGTCAGATCGGAAAATCAGTATGTGCTGCAAACAACACAAAGTGGGCAAAACAGAAGTAGGTTTCATAATTTAATTCAGAGAAAAAAAAGGATTTACCCACAAAATGCAAGGACTGAATATGCATTATGTGCAAAAAACTTTCAGGCACTTCAGAAACTTGCACTGTTGTCCATCGGGAAGGCTTGTGATTGGTTCCAGCAGGCTGACGTGTCTTAAATAACTGTCTTCAGTGAGGGGAAAGTTGCCTCCTGCAGCAGATCTGTACTTTAATGTGCAAAAATGACAACAACACTGCCTGCCAACTACGTTAAAAAACCTGTGAAAATGGTATGAGGAGTTTAGTTCAGTTTTAAATGCAAAGGATGGTCACATCAAAAAAGGATTATGATTTTAATTTTCATTTTGTATTAAAAGTATTTTTTAATCTTGATTTCTATTTAGCTGTCCTCTTCTTTTTAGTTCATCTCTCCTCTTTCCCTCCTTGCTTTCCCCTGGGGAACTGAAATTCCAGCATCTTCCCTCCCTCTGTAAAGCTTCACCTCCTCCTTTCTCCTCCCACTCTCTTCCTCCCTCCACACCTCTCTCTCATCTTCCACCATTCCCTGCTTCATCCTTCTATCCTCACTCACTTGAACTCTGTTAGGTGTGCTGTGAAGTCCAGTGGAGCTTCTGCCTTTTACCTTCAAGATGTCCTGGGCTCGAGTCTTTGTCCTGTCTGTTCTCACCACCCTCTTTGTCATTACCTGTGAGTACCTTGTCTTGGTAGGTGGGGAAAAGAGTGGGGGGAGTGGAAGAGTAACGTTTGGATTCAACATCTTCAGGGTAGAAAAAACAAGAGTAGCTTTGAGGGTACAAAGCACTGATGCATTGTGTTGGGTTGACTGGGGAACAATTTTAAAATATTACAATTATATATTTTTAATGTATTTTTATTTCTATTTATTTTTTATTTTTTAATATTTTCTCAGTTGGGACAGGCAAGTATGTATGGTTAAATGCTTAGGTTTGGCACCCAAGGTAAAAAAAAAAAGAAGTTTTCTTCCGTTTGGCCCCTTTGTGATGGCTGAGGACACAATGAGGCATGAGTTTTATGAGACCAATCACTGAAAAATGTGGTGTTGCTTAGATGCTTATAATAAGAAACTGATCTAATCGGAAGCAAGCTACACTAAACTACAGCACAGAGTAGCTACAGCACAAATTTTGATTCAAAATCTACATAGTTTGTTTATTTACACTCAGTGCTGCACAAAACTGCCTCATGGAAACACTTATATTTTTTTATATGTCAGGTCCTTTGTTAGTTTTGTGCCCCCGGCTAACCACCAGTAAGCTTTTGTTCAAGGAGTACTCACAGAGGAGGGGCTGTATTTGAAGCTGTATTTAAAGATTTGCAGTTAAAGACTTAGAGAATGAAAAGCTCTTCCACATGAGGTGAATATATATATATATATATATATATATATATGTGTGTGTGTGTGAGATAAAATATTTTTTCCCTCACCGTTAGTTTTCAGCCTGGTGGAAGGTGCAGCAGTACGGGATGACTCAAAAGCATCAGATGCTAAAGGTATGACTTTTTATCCTTCAAACTACTTCCAGTAATTTATTCTTTACATTTCTGCTCATGCAGCTGTGAACTTATGACCTCTGACCTTTAGGTGCTGCACAGCAGGTTTTTATGCCCGAGTCAGACGCCTCCAACTTTTTCAAACGCCGCAATCGGCGCTCAGTGCGATACTACGAGTTCCTAGGTATGCTGCACACCATATATTTTACACATCCACTTTAAAACAAAGGCTAGCCACCAAGAGGAAATTGTTTAGGGCTGTCTGCATGTTGTTTTGTAGT